TAATGGAAACTCTTTTATTTATCAGCGTATTTCAACATAATTTTATTTTTAACGTTCAATTATTGTTATAAATTTTTCATTGAGGAATATCTAATTGAATTTATAATCTAAAAATGTAAGCTCTTTATTTTCAACAAACGCACGTTATTGGATTTGTTTTCCTCTTCAAATTGCTGGTTCAGTTTGAACCTGAAATATTGCAAATGCAGCCAGATGCTCAGTAATGGTTTGAGTGTCTATATTTCATACAAAATCAAAATCAGATTAATTCCTGTCCAACTACCAGTACACAAGTTAATGAAGTTTCAATGATATATTCAACACAAAACATTATTTGAACTTGATTCTTCTGCTGGAGTATGATAAGAAGATAACAGCGAATCGCACTACTGGCTGAGATTCAGATTGCCCTTTGTTCCACTCATGGTCGGTTATTCTTCTGATAAATTTCAATCGGCGTGGCAACGTCGCAAATCCATTGAGTTGACTGAAACCGGCCTACTTGAATTGGAGAAGGGGAAAAGTTTGATGCACCGTATGTGACTCCGTCACTCGTACCTACTTCTCGTACGTATGTTCCTTGTTCATTCCCCTCTCTCGACTTTGTTTCAGCAGGGGCCTCATTAGGAATTTTCGGGTGAAAACTGGATGGAGAGGAATTTTTTGTTTGTTATAGTAAACATACCAGCCGACTATATAGCTATGGTTTTCAGAAGTCGGAAATAAGAAGGCTGGGGTTTTGAGGATAATGAAAGTAGGTAGGTAGGTATAATGGATTCAAAGCATAAGCCGAAATGTCGAATAGGTAGAAATTACAGACACGGTTCAGCCCGACTGTAATATCTTCAAAAATATTCATTCATTTAAATTACGTGCTGCAAAAAGCTTAATTGAATGCACAATATATTTGAGGTAGGTACTTAAGTGGATCAGGATAATGCTGTAATGCTCGAGAGGGTTATCCCTAAGAGATAGACATATACCATCGTTGACTTTTTTGTAGACATTTTTAAGGAGTACAATACTGTAGTACCTACATTTTTTAATTCATCTCGTAGAGTTCAGCCGCCGTTTGCAATGTAAGCGCAAAACGATTATTCACGACATAACATTAGAAACCACTGAAATTATCAGTGTTTCTCTAGTATATCATGCATGTTATATACATATAAATTTCCTCTTGAATCACTCTATCTATTAAAAACGCCGCATCATATGATTTGAAGTGCTTATTCGACAGGAATGTTTGTGTAAAGGCTATCCACGTCGAAACTGATCAATTTATCTTGCTCTGTGACTTTGATTGCCTCTAGTAATTCGACAGAATGCCTTGGATTCTACCGAAAGATGAAGGTTTTTCTTGTAGTGGTTGGATGATTGAAAGTAAAAATCTGGACAAGTTTCTAGTAGCTGAATCTCTGGAAGTAATGACCGGTCTGAGCGGAACACCCTTCTTGTGGATTTTGGGTACAACACAACATACAGATGTGGTGCGATTTTTGCGATGATGTCCATTTTTTCGAAAAATAAACTTGATGTATTGAGGAAGTTGTACTAGATTCCAAAGTCTGCTATAAGTCACTTTCAATTGATGCAGTAGTACTGACTAGTGAAATCCAACATGAAACAATATCAACCACTTTCAAACGAATATTGTTTTTGTTTGTGGTTTATGTGGATTATTTTTGAGTTGATTGTTGATTTTATACCATTTAATCACTCCCAATCAGTTCAATTATCATGACTTATACTTTTTTCTACCATCAAACATGTTTTCTTCAATTTTCCACATATAGTAATTAGAAAATGGGGACCAGATTCGAACCTTGTGAATCACTAAAAGATAAAACTGTCCATTTTCATAATTATTGATTGCTTTCAACTATTTTCGTTTTTGAAACTAGTTTTGAAGTAATTTGTAAGAATAACCTTTCATTCCTGGATTGTATAATGTATCTGACAAAATATCTTGGTTGACTACCTTAACTTTCAAATTATTCGAACTGTTGGATCCCATTTCTGTTATGATATTGATTTTCTATCTATTTTGAGTTTCAAATATTTCTTTCTAATTTAATCAATAGAAACCTGAATCCCTAGCTTTGGACTGAATGATTCCGTACAGCCCATCTCGTCTTGTATTTGTAAATCTTTTGCTGGAAAAATCCTCACTTTTTTACTTTGTGGTAAATGTTCAAGAAGTACCGAAAACTTATGTGAATTTCTGGAACTTTATCTAGCTTTTCCTAATATGACTAATAACCAGTCCGTGCAAAGGTTATTGTTAAATCATCTGAAAATGGAATTTTTAATAGGTGATGATCGACTGTATTGTCAAACATGCGCCAAAATAACTGACTGTTATAAGGAAACAAGGAAACAATCTAATAATAACACTGATGATTTTCAAACAAGACTCAACCTCTAACGGAAGCAAGAAACTCTTTGGAAGGTTCGAAATAGATGAACATTTCAACCTAGCAGACCAATATTATAATATCCATGCAGTAATGGTTCACTATGGTTCTGGCGTTGAATTTGGTCATTATTACGCCATGGTCAAAGAAGAAACGGACTGGTTTAAATTTGACGATAGTCGTCTACATTTTGTATTATAAGAGAGGACATTGTTAGATCAAGATCTTCAGATGATGTGGTGCTGCAGGTTTTTCCGGGTTTTCCTACAGCTGAAAAAGCAAATGCGGCACTGGAATCAATGAAGTCGCCCCGGAGCGCCAATTAATTTTTATTGTTGTTTTTTATGTGACCACATCCTCCCGAGGAGTTGTTCTCCTAGGTCATCGTCCATCCTGTCCTTTCCAGGAAGGTGGAAAGGCCAAGGTGTAGGCCAAGACTCGCCGAACACACACTCTTATTGGCGAAACTCCGGACACTAGCATAGGACAGGCCAGACAGTTTCATCTTCCTGTTAACATATCCTGCATAGAGGTGTGTCCGCTGCCCCATATTATGGAGGTGTTCCCTTAGTTGACAGTGGCGTCAGAAATCCTACTGTTAAGGGTAGGTTTTTTCTGGTCACCGCCAGATATTTCTTCGGTGCCAGCTTCCCAGGGTCGCTCAGTGTGATCCTGGCAGGACCGCATCCTTTAATTCCATTCCATCTCTTCAGGGATTGAGCATGGGTGTGACGTTTGGCTAGTTCCGCAATTGTCGAAGTCATCAGGCCGTAGGTGTCACTGGGTCCTAAAATTCTTAGTCCAGCCGCTTCCTTGGCTAAAGAGTAGGCAATGCTATTACCTTCACCCCTGTCATGCCCTTTAACCCACCTCAGGATAATGTTAATATCTACCAAGGCTTTGGCTGAATCTTGGTGGCACTATATTACTAGCCCTGAGGTAAGACGTTGTCTGTTCCAGGCTAATAAGGCTTGTCTACTATACGTGCAGATTGTTATGTTTTTTTGCTAGAAATTCCTAGTTAGCTATTTCTTTTGTGGCGATTGACATACCAGCCAGTTCTGTTGGAATCACGCTGTTATTTTTTTCCCATTTCTCACTTAATCCTTAGGCTTAGTGATCTGCAGTGAACTCCACATCCTGAGCCTCCTTTTTTTTGAGCCGTCTGTATATATTCGTATTGCATTTGTAGCATCTGAATCTGTGTCCTGTTTTATATGTATTTTGTAGGTTTTATTAAACACAAACCTGGGTAGATTTGCATCACTGTAGCAGAGGTTGCGCCTCTGTACCAGAGCCTCAATTGACCCATTCCTACTTCGAGGTTTACACCAGCTGTGCGCAATCGTAACATGACCATCAACGTAACCTCCTTAATGTACAGGTCTAGAGGGATCACACCAGTATTTATTTCCATTGCGGCGGTTGGTGTTGTTCTCATGGCTCCTGTAATGTTTAAACAAGCCAATAGCTGTATAATTCTGATATACGCTTGATATAATTTTCGGATTGCCATTGCTTCTAGATCTTTCGTTTTCCATGCAATGGCTCCATACGTTAACATAGGTCTTATTATTGCAGCGTAGATCCAGGTGACCGCATGGGGTGAGAGACCCTATATGTGTCTTCCACTGTCCTCCGACATTGCTCATAAGCCACTGAGATATTACAGTGTGAAGAAGTCTCATAAAAACTAAAAAAACTTTTGGAACAACCTTTTATTCATTACACCCATTTATTTTAAATTTTGATTCTAACAAATAGACCAACTTGCCTGAAATTTATGAATTAGAAATATATTATTGATTAACACCAGCATATACTGAAAAAAATATATGAATGAAAATATTTAGTAGCAGCATTATGTGAAATGATTTCATGATATAATTCAACAATGTATTGAAATGTAATTTTATCTAAACTAGACTGATTTTGGTTATATTTTTATGTTCTCGAAATGAAGCCAAAATGATTTATCTAATATATTTTATCGAATTAGGTGATGGAAGGTATAAATATTGCGAATGGTTTTATTAGAAAATTAAAGTTAATATTATCAACCAATACAGACATATTTCTCGAGAATTTTGTTTAATAGATTATGTTAGATGTTGGAACATTTGAATGGAACATCAAAATATGTGGACACTTTCGTAGTCAGAATCATAACAATTTTGTTCTCCAATAGAAATAATTTTTATGATAATGATATTAATAATAATGATGTCCTTTCATTCTCCAAATTATTCATAATATAGGGACATTCACATTCATTTTTTTATTACATATACAGTTTTAAAGCAATTATTATTTTTTTGAATTATTTCGGAACTTCGTTCATAAAATTTTTCCAAGACAGTCGGTAGCTCATTGGGAAAAAAAATTAAAACCTCCTTCTAAAAATGATGGGTCCTACAAAAAGCAGCAATTGATGTAGGAGTTTTATTGTTATAAGAATTTGTGATGGGAATAAAACTGAATATTTTCTTGGTGGAGTTATCAGAAAATTAAATTGAACTTCAAAATCGATGTCTCTTGAAATACTCGTGAAATTTTATAACGAACACTAAAAATTGAACATACTCACAACATACTCACCACCATATAGGCATCTCCTATAGTTTCAACTTTGTATACGTCGTAGTGCTCGATGATTGAATCAAAACAGGTATAGAGATCATTCAGAAAATCAACCACCTGAAAATTATGTCACTAAACAATATGTATTTTTTTTCAGATGTTTAATATTTGGAGTACAAACTGGATAGAAAAAAGTTTTTTTTCGTATAACTCAATGTTCGTATAAAAGTAGACGTTTTGAAAGTATTTTTATACCGTGTAATTCAATGTTTATTTGAAAGTAGTTGTTTCGAGTGGGCTTTTTCTTTCAGTTTATGTCTGAAAATTACTTTTTTACGATCTTAGGCAGGTTGTCCTGGGTCTGCGACTCAAAACACCTGTACCAAAACCTGAAGGTATTTTTCATCCATCTGTGAACCAACAATTATCTGTTTTTGATGTTTCCTTCTCCCGGAGGATCCAGTCCTCTCTACTCGGGAACAATACTTATAAGGCAGTTCGTAGTAGATAGTTGGAGGCATAAATATTTTTGATGAAATCTGTTCTGGAAAAAAACACTTCTACGGATTCGTTCACAGATGTAACAACGATTGTGATAGAAAATGAACAGTCAGTTAAAAACCAAATGACCCTACAAGCAGTATTTCCAATTCAAAACCACAACTTAGCAATTACTTATCAATTACGTTCTCAACAGACACCACCAGTTTGCTAATGTATCTCTCTTGAAAGAAATATTTTTTCTTGATAATATCGTTAGGACTTTCTCAACTGAAAAAATAAAATTCCATTTTTTTCAAAATGAGGATTCAGAATGAGAATTCACATGATCAGATTGAAATTTTGTTGAGAATTCCGAAAAATAGTGAAGTGAAATTTAGAGGTAAGGAAATACTTTCAATATTGACAGTGGTCATGAAGGAACTGACTCACCTGTAGAGGAGTACTTTCAGCAGACATTGCAGTGAAACCTACGATATCGCTGAAATATATGGTTACACAATCAAAACTTTCTGCTTCCACTTTCTTTCCTCTTTTCAGTTGTTCTGCCACGGGCCGGGGCAACATTTCATACAGCAAAGCCTCTGGAATCAATTGATGGCCATTTGAAAACTGATAATTGATAACAAAAAATGTTTATTACTGGAGTTTTTTCCCAACACCAAACAGTTTGATCTTCCTCTTGAAAATGATCACTTGGTGATCGAAACATGTGTCGAGGTGTTAAAATAACGGTTTGGTGTTGGGAAAAACTCCAATAATATTCATTACTACACCAAAGGTTCCAAACAGTGCATCACAAGTACAAAAACTGTTACTGAGACAATTAGTAATAACACCGCTCAAAGAGTTTCGTTTTTGATATGGTGGTGGACGGTGCCATAACGATCGTCCACAGAGACAGTAAGCAATCGCCATTTTTGGGGATAGAAAACTGTTTGTGTTGTCACGGTCCACCGTTTTTGAACGTGCACATTGAATATATGTCATAACGAGAGTTGTGAAGAGTTTTTTAGGTGTTTTAATAGAAAGAGCACACTCATTCACGCCGGTTAGAAGCCGGATGTCCAGGTGGGAGTACCATAGCACGAAGTGCATAACAGTTGACTTTTACTCAATTTGCAATAATCTACGAGAATAATGCAATGAGGAGTACAGTATTGCAAAAAGCAAGACATCTGTACTCCCCGGTCGTAGCGCCGTAAAGGAACCTGGTACCAATAATCCAGACGAGTTGGCTGTCCTTGTTCATCTTTCACTACCTGAACCACTGTGCGTGCTGTTTTTGGCAAGTGGGATGCCATGGGGGATGGGATGGGGGGTTGAGCAAACCGGCCATCGGATCCCTGCTTCCACGTAGCCCCGCTGGATACCGGAATGACAGAATCACTTGTGCTTTTGTTATTCCCTAACTGAATGGCATCCCAACGATGGCTTAATCCTGTGTGTGTATCCGTGCCGAGAAGATGAATGATACTGAGCCTATCAGCTGTCTCTACGGAACCTTCGAGATACCGGGCGCCCTCTCTCGTCGTAGCATCGCCTTGTCACGGTAATGCGGGGCTCTACCGTGATTGACCTTCTTTCCATAGCTACTCGTAGAACTTTTATGGACAGAGTAAACTTTAAAACTCTTTCTGACGCTGAATCTAAGGAGGAGATGGATGTCTAAGTTACGACTCCAACTGACCTTACTATGAATTTAGATCAGGGGCGAGTCTACAGAGGAGATGGATGCCGAGTTCATGACTCCAACTGATGACCTATCTGTAAATTTGGATCAGGAGTGAGAGCTTCACAACTCCCCAACTCCTGATCCAATAACTGAACCTAAAAAAAAGGTTTGGTGATGCAGCCAGGAATCAACTGAGTCGTCTCCTCAAGAGCGGAATACCTTATAAAACCGCCTTGCACCAAATTCTTCAGCGGTGTACGCAGAATCTGTCTCAGATGGGGGAACAAACCCCTATGAGCAGGTTTAGCAAACGTTTGCGCTCAAGTGATGATTCACCAAAACCAGAGGCGAAAAAGCCCTGCACGGTTGAATCTAAGGCATCGTCAGGTGTAGTTAACGTGCAAAAAACCCTCATATGGTAAGGTTGTTGTGGGTATCAAGGTGGGAATCTTGCACCTTGACCATCCGACTACCTCATTAACGATAAAACAGCAGAGCATATATACTTTGCTACTAACCAATAATCCAGTTGAAGAAAAGAAGAACACAGTTCACCAATATAAAAAATAAAAAATGAATAATATCTTTTATTTCATTTCGAATCTATGGCATATTTTACTGTTGACTATGAAGAGGAAATGTCACAAATCATCAGACGGAATATTTTTTTACTAGTCTTGCCTTCTTCTGGCATTATAATAATGATGTCAGTGAGACTAATCTTGAGTGGAAAATAAGGAAGACTCAAATTGAATTGAGAGGGATATAAAATGGTTTAGACTTTCACGGCTGAAGTTTTCAGTGTCATTGCTTTTCGAGTTTGAAAGCCGTGGATTTTTGGAATTTCTTCCTGACGTTTCGCTGGCGCGAGTGACTAGCTTCTTCAGAGGTTTAACCATCATGGTTAAACCTCTGAACCCGTAAAGCGTATTTATGCCTTGTCAGGTAATCCGTTGTATTTGTACCTGCATGTGCAGGCGTTGTATTTGTACCTGCCTGCATAAATACGCTTTACGAAGCCTAAGAGGTAGTCATCGGACAGCAAGCCATGATGGTTAAACTCGCGCCAGCAAAACGTCAGGAAGAAATTTCAAAAATCCACGGCTTTCAAACTCGAAAAGCAATGACACTGAAAGGGATATAGTTTTAGGACAGATTCGTTTTTGTATATTGATGAAGAAGTAGAGAACCTTATCCTTCCTGACCTAAAAAAATAAGAATAATTATTCGTGAATCAATTGAAATTCCAAGTTGTTTCGTTGGAAAATAATCTTAGCGACAATATGATTCTTGAATCGACTGTGAATGCCAGTCAATTCAGTGAACATTGACTATATATTGATATATTAAACTGAAATCAACTATTTTCTTCACTATCATACCTGTAAGTGAATCACATATATCGAATCATCTTAACATTATGTTTGTTATTTACCAGCAGAAAAGTATGCAATTCTAATTGAAGTAGGAAGTACAAGCCCGTTCCGGAGTATTTCGTACATAGTACATAGGTTCGAGTTCCGCCCGGTTTCAAAAATTCAAAATATATTTCGACTCTGGAACTTGGTTGATGACTTGTTTCAAAGCAACCTCAGAACGCTGGTATCGACTGATGCGTGCTATGAAATGCACTTCGAAAAGTAAGATCTCCACCTTTCCTCAGCTCGCACAAATTTCATAAAGACTTCTGAGATTGATTGCATCATAAGCTGATTGCCAGTTGAACGATTGCAAACCATTTTGAATGATTCCCAAACTAATTCAGATATTTGATGATATCCAAGCTCTAATACAAAGGAGAGTAACTCATGTCGATATATGCATTTGAAATTTGAAGATGTATGAGTACAGTACACTTCAATTATACTAGGTAAGGGATAATTTTTGTACGAGATTCATCTCAACGTATAATGTGGATTCATCTTCAGTAATTTCATGATTTCTTACCAGTTTTTTTCTTTTCCTCTTGGAGTTGATCGGTCCTTTCATCTACTAATACTTCCAGATTATTCGCATATTTTTCCATCATGGCCATCATATTATCAAATATATTTGGTTTCCTACAAAACAAAATTAGTGCAAAGAATAATTTGAGGAATATGTTTATCTTCAATCGAAGACCTTCAATCCGACCTTGAAATAACTATCTTGGCACCCAGCTTTTCACATTGCCATATTTTGTCTTTAAAGTTTTGCCAGATATTTTGCAATACATCGAACGTAAGTACCCAAAATGTAAGTACCAAAGTACTCCACCTCCTGACCTGACCAGTAACCTATTAACTCCTGTAATAATTGAACTGATTAAAATAGATAATCAACCTTTCTTGCTGCCCATCCAGTTTAAAATAATGCACCTGAAACACAAAATCACCTCCAGAGGGACAAGCAAGACAGGCCGACGAAACAAAACCAAAGACCACCTAACCAAGTGGTCGCCCAGTGGCTTTGGACTGGACATCACTTGAATGCATACAAACAAACACACCCAAAATCCGGTATTTCACACAGACACACGCACATACTTTGTTCGTGACACATAAACACTCGTCTCAGTTAGGTACAGGAGGCCCCATACATACGAACATTCCACACAGTAGAGACCAAACTGACCCCCAACCATGGTAGATCAGAATTCAAGGGTTCCCAATTTCATTTGGTCACGAAACCCTAATTAAGCACGCATTTTTTGACGGAACTCTAGCTGGCTATTTCAATAACTGAAGTGTTCAGCCAGTAGTTTGATTATTTCCATTTTACGACACGACAGTTGGATCCGAAGCTGTTTCTGTATCTATTTTTTGTGTAAGCGAGGGCTGAAAATCCAGTCTTTCATAGATTACGCCACAAATGTAAGCAGATCTGGAGTAGCTTTTTCAAAAATTGCAGGGTATTTTCATCTCCAACATAGCTCGCGAAACCCCTATGGCACTTCTACGGAACCCCAGGGTTCCGCAGACCGCCTTTCAGGAATAAAGGAATCTGGGGGTTGGATATCAGTCTCGCTGAAGTGCCAAGCCACGGATTTAAGACCGCTCGGACGTGAGAAGGGTGGATAGAACACTGGTTGTGTTCTATATGGTAACAGCTACTAAGGCCCCTCTGCGATCATGTTAAAACTAGCAAACACCTTCAATTCAATGGATTTATTCAGGTTAGACTCTTTCACAAAGTGAATTTGGACAGATTTCCTTGCGTTATATCTAGGATATGACTGTGTGATGCTCTGATATACGCTGTTATGTGCATTATGTGTATTGTAATAATTGAGCTTCAAGTTCGATTTTGTTTATCCATGAATTGAGACCGACTAGGTCTGTTCGGATATGAAAAGATACATTAATAAATAATGTATTGAACAGAAGCCCAGAACAATTGTTCAATTGTTCTGGGCTTTGTCCAGACTGAGATTTTTCAATTGTTCAACTCGGTGAAGTCTTTTATCACTATTTTTGAGACATTATTGTACATATGTTGACTTATGGAGAAAGGGGTGTTGACAAGTTTATTTGGTGGTTTGTCGATCTAGGATTCAGCACGGTCTTTAATGCTTATGTCTATCCAAATGATGGATGCTCATATTGTGCAAAGGAGCCATTTCCTTGAATGAAAATATATTGATGTCAATAAGGAATGTGAGGTATCAGAATGAGGAACTAGATTCTCTTCTAGTTCCACATAGTCGGGAGAACTGCAGGGCATACATCTTATTGAATCATGGTATTCACCACACATGCAAATTTGGCTTTGATTTGGTTGGATTCGTGATTCTGATACTGTCCCGTGTTAGTGGGTTTTCGATATACATATGTTTTCCACAGTGTCGGACCTCTTCATCAATACATCTAAGAATGACAATTCGTTATGGATTCCCTTCTCTAATGTGATGGTGATGGAAGGTTTTAGGATGTTGATGTGCTTCTGAAAGGTGTCTAGTTCTGTATTCTCATGGTTCCAAACTATAAAGGTGTCTTCAACGTATCTCAACCAGACTTGGGGCTTCTTGTAGGCTTCTTCAATGGCCAGAGTTTCAAACCATTCCATATATATGTTGGCTATAACTGGTGGAAGTTGCGATCCCATTGGTAGTCCCTCATCTTGCGTAAAGATTTCATCCTTCGGTTGGAAATAGCAGTTCCGTACACAGCATTCTAGTAATTCCACCTTCGAAACTGATCAATTGATCGTGCTCTGTGACTTCGGTTGCCTCTAGTAATTCAACAAAACTGTTTTTTGATTGTTTGTGGATTATGTAGACCATTTTTGAGTTGATTATTGATTTGATGCCATACAACCACTCTCGATCAGTTTCATTATCATGATTCATACAAAGATTTATACAAAAGATTGAGGTTATTCTTGTAGTGGTTGAATGATTGGAAGTAAAAATCTGGACAAGTTTTGAGTAGCTGAATCTCTGGAACTAATGATCGGTCTGAGCGGAACACCCTTCTTGTGGATTTTGGGTAGTCCATATGGTGCGGTTTCTGCGATGATCTCTATTTTTTCGAAAAATAGACTTGGTGTACAAAGGAAGTTGTACCAGACTCCAAAGTCTGGTACAAGTCACTTCCAATTGATGCAGTAGTAGTAACTGGTAAAATCCACCATGAAAAATTGTCAACCACTTTCAAACGAATCACACTTTTTTGTTTGTGGATTATTTTTGAGTTGATTGTTGATTTGATACCATTTAACCACTCACAATCAGTTCCATTATCATGATTTGTACTTTTTTCTAAAAAGAATCACCCATCAAACATGTTTTCTTCCATTTTCAA